TACTATTTCCCAGTTTTTTCGAGCAGAAATCTCAAATTGGTCGAGAAACGTTCACCACTTCTGCTTCTCTGAGTCTGCACTTAGGGTTTTTTCGGTTCCAGAGTTGCTCATGGAGTTCATTGTGGAAGAAGGAAAGCGTATGCATCAAGACTGCTCGACTTTGATTCTGGTTTGTTTGTTATTTTCCTCTGGTTTCCCCGTTTCGATTTTGGTTTTCTTCTTCCGCGAATCTTTGTTCGTTTTAAATATTTTTTAGCGTACGAAGTGTAATTTCGTTCAGAAATGTGTTCGGCTGATGGGAAAATAGAGGAAAATGGAGGAAACGGACAAGTCTTGAGAAAGTTAGAAACTAGGCCAAGTTTTGTTTGTCCATTTTTCCGGGAACTTCAATCTCTTCGTAAGATAGTTAAGATTCTTTTCAGTCCTTTGATTCTGTTTCTTAGAAAACATACGAAAACACAGATTTGTTTTTGTTCTTTGATTTTGTTTCTGAAAAAACCGATAGGAAAACGCAAACAATCTTTCTCGAAGAGGAGTATAGATTTTCTGAGCTGTAGATGTATTTTTCCCATTCACCAGCCTGCATTATCCGTGGGGAATGTGGGGCAGCTCGCAGTTGATCTTCTGGTTTCGTCCATGGGAGCGGAGAGAGTGGGTTATTTGGATGATCCATTTATGCTTCCATGCGTTGGAAATGATGCTTATGGCCCTCTTCCTTGTGGTGAAATTGCTCTTCCTCTTGAAGGTGAACCTCTCACGGTATCACAAGTCATTTCTCGTTTGTTTCGTTAAGATTAGGGTTGATATCATTGTCCTGTCATTAGCTTTGCCGCTTGCTTGATCCTTGGTTTGGTATGTGTCTTGGAGATTTCTAGTGATTGGAGTATTAGAATTGTTAGTGTGGCTAATGTGCTGATAGTATGTTAGAAGATTGGTTAGATATTGCAGATTTGTCTTAGTATATAAGGAACATATGCTGCAAGTGATGAAATGTCAGAAATTTTCCCAATCTCTCTCTCTCTCTCTCTCTCTCTCATTTTTGCTGCATTTTCTCAGTAGCCAAACAGCTCAACTGAGAACTTTGAAATGATGTTGCAGAGGCGATTGTAATGTTTGATTGAATTGGGAAGTTGTAGTTGGCCCTGGTTATATTATTTTGTTAGATGCCATAGCGCACGTTCCTTGTTATACCGTTAACTATGGCTTTTTCCTCTGATTTGTCGATGCCAGTTTTGTTTGTTTCATTTATATGAACTCATGGATTTTGCTTCGTTTATGTCTTTTCAGTCTATGATTCATTGTCAAATGGGATTACTCTTGTTCAACAACGATCTCCAGTTGTGAAGGTACTTAATACAAATCTTCATGTGCAGAAGTAGCTTTCCTCTTTCTTGTCGCAAGAGCGTTAACTTTAGGAGTATCATCTGATGCTTGTAATCATAGTTATTTGAAAAAATCAAACTAATGTAGCCGACTATGTTATCTGTTTTGTCATTTTCTTGCCTTATTCTAGTAGTCGACCTTTTTAGTGTTAGTTTGTTGTGGAGTTTTTTGAATTTAGGAAAAAACTCTGAGGTTCCGTTTTTTCTTCTTAAACAGGGAATGATGATTAATTTTGCTAAGAATATAGCGGATTTTGCTTCTGCAAGTGGAAAGAAGCATGTTGTCATCCTTTCGAGTTTGGACTTCCAAAAGCTGCAAAAATTGGATATGTCAAGGTAACTATAACTTGTATTTTCGTGTTTCCTCGAGTTTTCCTATTATGCTCAAAAAATGAAAGCTTAATCTTGCTTTCTCATTCCTACTGTTAACGAGTTATTACGAGTTACTTATGTTCTTAGTTATCTGGCAATTCTTCTAGTGGCTCTCAGGTGAATTATCTGTCCAGCACGAAATCTGATGGAACAGATGACCAGTTGGAGCGAATTGGATTCAAAAGGTTGGATGAGTATGACCCGACAGGCAGATGTTGGCGATATCTTAGCTCCGTCTTTGATGAAAACAGTTCAGAAGAGATGACTCCTCCGTCTGAAGATGAATTGGAAGACATAGATTACTATCCAAGCTTGCCATTTGCAGCTCTTTTTTCGGCTTTCAAGGTAATACCCGAGTCTGCTCATCGTTTCCACACCTTTCAGTTGCCAATTTCAAATCAGGTCATGGGTTAAACCCGTCTGTACAATCTTGTCATTACTGCAAATTTCGAGGATGGTTGTTCTTTACCGGTGGGTGGGGGTGGGCATTTTGTGTTTATGTTAGATTTGGTTCGGTTTGATTTCTGTTTTAAATGATAAAAATGTTCATTTTCAGAAGAAAAAAAATCTGGTTATTTTTATATTTTGTTCGGTATGATTTGTTCATTTTAAAAAATTATGACCTTTTGGTTTCCATCAGATTTGGTTCAGTTATGTTTACATGTTATCTTGTTTGAATTGGTTAGATCTATTCATAAACGAACCGAATGCCCACCCCTATTTTTCTTGATTATGCCACACCGAGATCGAATAATTACACTCGGGTATTTATGTTGTTGAGATCAGGCAAGAGGATTGAAGGTCACTTGCTTGCTATGTTACTGTTCGGAGGGGGACAACATCCCTGAAGCTTTTCTTCTTGCAGAATCTGCTTCCAAACTTACCGGTCTCGGTCCCGACAACTTTCGAGGTGATGTCTGAATCAGATCATATCCCAGGCGGCGGGCGCTCGTGATATTCGGGTTTAACCTAATCAGTTTTACACCGCCTTTTATTTTTCCGCAGGAGGCGAAGACGGGAAATGGCGGATACCGTGTTCGTGGAAGAGCCTCTATGGAGCACCACCGGACTCGTCCATGTTCTAGAGATATCATCTCCTTTCTCAGAGGTACTTCATGAATCTTTTTGAAATCCAGTTATAGATTATGTATTTTTGGTCGGACTCTATCCAATTCGTAACAACTTGTTTGCATGCAAGGTAGGCATTTTGGTTTTAGATTTTTCAGGTTTAAGAAATACAAGGTTTCATTCTCTTTTTTCTTTTTTGTCTTTTGGTTAAATCCGGTTTTGTATTGGGTAATTCGGTTTATTAAACCGATTCGGATTAAATTTGTCATGTGAGGTGTCAATGACGGGGAAGCATATTTAGCAGTCTAAAGGTGTCACGTTTGAAAATATGGTCAAAATAGTCAAAGGTTAAAAAATGTGGGTGGATTTGCAAACTTTCCAAAGTTTGAGATTTGTTTTTTGAACGTTGCAAATTCAGGGTTGTTTAGGGAACAATTTAACAGGTTCAGGTGTTTTTTTATGGAATAAACCAAAAATGGACTCGACCGGTTTAAAATTTGATTTGTATTAATAAAAAAATCGATTTTCCAAAAGAAGTTAAAGTTTTGTTCCTTTTTTTTGGTATTTTATTATTCGTTTAGAGTCATTTTTCGGTTTTAGAAAATTTATACCGTTGGACGTTATTAGATTCAAGCATTTTCTATCCATGTATTATCAATATCAACTTAGAAAATGCTAAAACATAATTGCAACTTTGTGCGTAAATGGGAAAGGGGAAAAAGCTCCACACTTTAAGATATCAAGTGAACAACGAAGTTTCTTTTTCTTTTGTAAAAGATTATCCCCTCTTCGTTTAAAAATCTCCCAAGAGAAGTGGAATCCCAACTCATACCTTTTTAAAATTTGCAACAATTCCAGCATAAATGTCATTTTTTTTCTATTATAATATATAAAATCGGATATGTTATTATGTTAAACCAAATTTTTTTAAAATTTTATACGGATTGTTCTATATCAGTTTTCGGACTTCCGAATTCTATCATTAGAGTGTCACATGACTAATAGCCAATAGGAGTCTGTTTTATTACTTCTTAAAAAAATATTTTTTTTTTGTTTGTGCTTGTAAAATTGGTATTTTAATTATTTCAGCACAAGTTAGTTCCTTACATAGGAAAAAGGCTCTGTGATTCCAACTGTAAAATTCATTTTTCATCAAATTATTAGGTATCAATTTCTTGGGACTAAAAAAGAACTAAAAAATAATCCTCAATTGTAACATATTAATAGAATGTAAATAAAATTTCAATATAATCTAAAATAATCTGAGAAATGAACATAATTTTTAAATAAAAATTGAAATTAAATAAAATCCGAATAAAATCTAAATGGAATAAAAATTTGCACGGAATGGTTATATTTGTTTTTGTCAAAAGCAAAGATTTATAATACCAAATCGGAAACCGAAATTAGTGTAGCTAACATGTTACGCATCAACAAACTTTAGAAGAATTCCTCATGGATTATGGTTTAGATTGGACCCAAACACAACATATTAGACTTACAGTTTTACACAATATATATATATATATATATATATATATATATATAAAGGTTTTCTATTCCCTGGAACCTTTCGCTTCTCTATAGAGTCGATCGATTATGTCCTGAAAAAGGAAACAATGAAAAATGGTCAGAAATATTTAATCTTAAGGAAGTAGAATAATGAGTTTTTGTTAAATATATTTGAGAATATTTATTAAAAAGATTGAGAATATATTTTTTGAAGATTATATATATGAAGAGTGCATACCTTGTAATGGTTGAGAAGCTGAGGCCTTTTCAGTTTGAAAGTTGGGGTTATGAGATCTTTTTCAATATCAAATGGATTTGGCTCCAAATAAACTGCTTTCAACATCTCAAACCCTTTAAGCTGCATTACACAAACACACAAAATATTTAATTAGTGATGACCATATATATATATATATATATATATAACATAGAAACAACCTAGTGTTTGCAATATAGCAAAAAAAATATATGAACTTTTTTAATTGGACGAATAAATGCATAAACTTCTAATTTTGTATAAAAATACATAAATTTTGAAAATTTTTGTGTAAACCCACACAAGTTTATATAAAAATACAAAAAATTTAAAATTTCTGGCATACAACCACACAAAAAAATCAATTGAGCTTAATGTTTTTGTGGATTTACATGAAAGTTTTAAAATTTTTGTATTTTTATACAAAACTAGAAATTCATATATTTATTTTCCAAATTTAAAAAGTTCATATTTTTTTTTACAATATTCCCTTAGAATTTCGATTTGCCTATTTCCAAGGTAAACTGAATGTTTTAGATATTTTCTAATTTAGTGGGTCATGATACGATATCTTAATTAATTTATTCGGTTTAAGAAAATGTTTAGTTTCTGGTTAGACTTTAAAGAAATCGTATTAAACTGAACCAAAATAGGCTCGAGTTAGAATTTTTCCTACCGTATTTTAAATTTTGGGGACTTTGCTCATTGACTGATGCATGATTTGGTTTTATTATTCAATTTATTCGGTTCTAAAAAAGTACTCGGTTAGGTTTTGGTTAGATCCTAAAAAACATATGACTGAAATCAAAGAAATATATTGATTCCGGTCAGAATTGTTTTTTACTCCCCTATTTTAAAATGCACCACCTTTAAATACAATAATTGTTTTTTTTTAAAAGTCGTATGATAACAAATTTGGAATATATATATACACTTACTTGAAATTGCTTAGCGGTGCTGTTGAGTTGGTCCAAGATGTATTTCTTGGCCTTCGGATTCTGACACAGAGACTCGAAGTCTTTGGGTGTCTCATTGTTCAGTTTCGTCCAATCCTCGAGTGTTTGTCTCTCGGGAACTACCACTCCCACCAAGAATGACTCGAAGCTGTTTCCGTACACCCAAATCTATATCCATTCATAAACAAGAATAAACAAAAAAAGTTTTTTTTTTAAATGATCCAAATGGAAAAATAAAAACCTCAATCGACATATAATAAAAGATTCTGTCATTTGTTTTTGTAGGAGAAAGGCGGTGGATGTGAACGTACTTGGGCGACGAGAGGACACCTTGAGTAAGTGTTCTCGAGGTTTTCGACTGCAATGTATTCACCTTGGGACAACTTGAAGATGTTCTTCTTCCTGTCTATTATCTTCATCGACCCATCTTCTTGCCATTCTCCTATATCTCCTGCTCGGGAATATATATTTCGGTTTTTTCAAATAAAAACATGATATACCTTCGTATAAGATGTATCGTTACCGATATCAAAATGATCACTCGTATTCCCATCCATCATGTTAAAAGTAGTTGATATTTCGTAAAATAGGACAAACCCTTTTTCAATATCGGAATGTTTTACATTTTCGTATTTAAGATTTTGTAGTATATAGTAGAGGTATATAAAATGTTTCTGAATTTTTAAGATCTAATGCTTTCCCAAGGCACTAAATTTACGTGATTACAAAACCGGTTTTTAAGATTCGATTTTGTTAAAAGTAGTCGATATTCGTAAAACCGAAAAAAAAAAACCTTTTTCGATATCAAAATATTACACGTTTATGTGAAGATTTTTATAGTATATAGTAGAGGTATAACATGTTTTTGGAGGAAATGAATGCAAAGAGTGATTTCATAGCATCTGATTACGTGTTTAAGACACAAAATCGGCTTTTACTGATGATTTATTAGGTGAATTTTCGGTTTTTTAGAGTATGAACTGTACGGCAAATGGGAAAAATATTGAGGGCTCATTAGCCAAAAATGAAAAACTTACCTGTGTGGAACCATCCATCGATTAAAACTTGATCAGTTAAGTCTTCTCTCTTGTGGTACCCGGAGAACATGGAGGTTCCCCTAAGACAAATCTCGCCACGCGGCACATCATCGGTGGAGAACGCGTCATATCCCATCTCGGGAACCGAGACTAGCCTCGCCTCGACGGTTGGCATCGGAACTCCCACCGTACTCACCATACTGAATATTCCGGCAAGCGTTGTGAAACTTCCTCCGCAGCTCTCTGTAAGTCCTGTTGTATATTTTACATGTGCATGATTATATATATATATTGATTATTATTTGTGTTATAATGACACACACACATATATATATGGACTCACCATAACCTTGGGAGAGATTAGAACCAGGGATTATCCTCAAGAACTCTTCTACATGGCGAGGGAGAGGAGCCGCTCCAGAGAACAACATATGAGCTCTTCCCCCTAATGCTTCTTTTATCTGCAGACAATCACAAAATTTCACTTTCTCCGACATATATATACACACACACACACATACATACATATACACACACATAATGATCTAGGTATCGCTAACCTTATCGAACACAAGCCTGTCTAGTCGAGGAGATGCTTCTTCTTGAGGCAACCCTTTTCTCATATTCCCCAATTTACTGTCACATATAAGACGGGAATTTTCTTGATCATCGGCTCCTTTCGTTTGTATTTATTCGAACAAAAGAACCGAGTACGAGGAGGATATATACTCACTAGTTATAGGCGAATTCGAATAGTTTCTTGCGTAACAAGCCACTAGCTGAAATCTTCTGCATAACGCCTGCATCCACATAATTGAATGCAGTTCCAAATGTAACAAATGTTTCAACAAAACAAAGATATGTATCATATAATAATTTGAGGAAAAAGAAAGGTTACAAAACGGAAGTGCAGAATTTGCAGGAAACATTCACTTTCTTGGGCGAGAAGAAATATTCTATGCTTTTGCCTGTTTCGTGATTTCTGTGTATCTTCGATTTTTAGTACAACTAAACATGAAACCCTAATTTTTATGAAAGATTTTGTGTGATTGATAAGCTAATGGATGTGTATACACAAAGCAAGTCTGCATATATATATATCGAAAAAGATCGGTTCCGATCTCATGTTGAATCATTTTCTTACCAGCATAGATCTTGTCATAAACTCTTGGAACGCCGCAGAACGCTGTGGGTTTCAGTTCTTGAACATCGTCTATCAGATATTTAATGTCCTGCGAGAATAAAGATGAGAAGTTGGGGGATCAAATCTGAGAGAAGTGAGAAAAAGAGGGGCGGAAATGGAAATATGGATTCTTACGCCACGCCAGTATCCGACAGAGGAGCCTCTAGAGAAGAAGTAGATCTCCATGACTTGATCATACACATGAGCTAATGGTAAGTACGAGAAGAACACATCTCCACTGTCACACTGAAATTTTTTTTAAAAAAAAAACAAAACAAAAAATCTTACATATTTTAACATTTTCATTAGTTGTATTTCATTTAGGGGCATACGTTTTGGTCAATTTTTCAAAACCAAACCGAAAATACTGTATTTTTTTGTTTGAACAGTCCAAAATCTAAACGATATTATTTTTAGAAAACCGAATTTTTCGAAATATAATCGAACCGAATCGAATTTAAAAAAAAAAATCCGAAAAATATCTAAAATTTTCTTAATTAAAATTGGAACCGAATTAAACTAAAACCGAACCGAATATAATATAATAAACAATTGATACATAATTTTGTAAATTCGAAAAAATAGAATCAAATCATTTCCGAACCGAATACCGAAACACCCATCCTAATTTCATTAGATATATAATATGTACCGATCGGTCAGCGACAAGGAGCATTTTGTCAATGGACAGGACTTGGGTCAAAAGTGCCGAGTTATTGAGGATCACTCCTTTGGGTTCTCCTGTCGTCCCACTTGTGTACATTATCGTGCACACATCGCTTCTTTGCTTACGTGGTAGTTCCGGTTCTGACTCTCCCTGTAAAAAAAATGTCATATTTCAAATACGTCCTTCACGTTTTGTAAATATTACTCTAAAGGCAACAAACTTCTGATTGTCCTACTTGGAAGCCATCATCATTCAATCTACGTCACAGTAAAGCCCATACAACATAATTGGTGGCGCAAATTGATAACCACTTCGTTATATGACTCAAGGGTTACCAAGAAATTTAATAAGTTATGTGTGTGTATTTGGGATTAAGGCGATGTTTTTGTTGTTGTTGTGTGTGTGTATATATATATATATATATAACTTGCTTTGATATTACATACCGTAAGGGAAAACTCTTGCCATGAATACAGAGAGATCCTATGTTTCTCAGCTTCTTCCTTTTGGCCGCTCGAGATGTTACCGAAGCTGACAATAGCTGAATTCGAAACCCGATCGATCAGTTCATCGATTAAAACCTCACAAATTTAATTACCAAATATGTTTTAGTTATGTTCATAACTTACTCTTCAGATTGAAAACACAGCCTGGAAGACATGACAGAATCTGCAAAAGCATTTTCCGAAAAGGGTTAATGTAAATTCGATATATCCCCGCAAATGTTATTCGTATGTATTCGATGTTAAAGAAATGATAAAAAAAAAATCAAGATTGCGAATCATACTGAAACTTTAGAAAGAACTCTGTTAGTTCTAACATCAGAATCCTGAATTTGCAAGTTGCCGACATATTCAAAGTGTCTAGATTCAATTTTACCCTAATTCTTGGGTGATGAAATGAGCGACGAAATGTTGTGTTACCAAATAATTATCGAATGGAGTAAAAACTGAAATATAGATATAATGAAAATAAATAAGATACACAATATTTGATACAGGAAAGAATTTTACCGAAGGAATCTTCTTCTCTTGAACAAATACTATAGAAACCTCTGCATGGTTGATGATGAACTCTACTGCGTTTGCTCCTGTAATTGAGACATTATTATTATTATGGAATAATTTTCATTTAAAGCCGCGTTAATTAAGAGAAGAATTTGAAATTACTCATTTGATGTTTTTGAATAAAGAAATACGTATAGAGTACCCAAAGTTTCGTATAATGGTACGTAGGTTATGGCTTGGCTCATGCATGCCTGCACAATTGAACATCCACGTAAAATTACGATTAAATTTTGACCCCGAGATTTTTAAGAAATTCGATTCATGGACTTAAAGCTTTTCGGTTTACCTCCATCGCTATAATCCATTCCGGACAATTCGATCCATATATTCCGCAACAATTTCCCTGATTAAATAAGAATGCGTGTTATGAATTTAAGTTCTGCATTTGAGAATATGATCGATTGAACCGACAGAACGGTATTCGTACCGGTTCCACACCTCGGCTTCTGATAGCCGATCCAACTCGAATCGCAGCATCATAAGCTTCCTTATACGTGATCCATGTGTATGGACCGACCTGTAGATATTCATTAGCATATAATCAAGTCGGTACATCATTCATTTTTAATATCCCCTCGATGTAACTTGGGAATGGCTGAAAAAGAACATTTCAAATGTTCGGGGCCAAACCGAAAATTTGAAAACCTGAGGGTGACATTTGGAAAGGTGTTAAATAAAAGTTTGATTTAAAAACAAAAGTTTAAAATCGGACCAAATTATTTACCTTAGAATCATTAACTTTGCGGCGGCCTAACATTTGGCAATTCGGATATTGTTTTGCAGCCTCACTGTATACACACATTTGAAATGGTTATAACATTCAAACATATATATATATACACACATATATATCAATTCGATGGATCCCACCATTGGGATTAAGATTTACAACGTGTTGCTCATTCATCGTTTGGTCATTCAGATTCAGATTTGTTTATCGTAAAACATTCTGGATTAATGTTATTCCCAAACCCTAAATTCGTAAAAACATAATTGTTTGAAGGTTTCCGTACCTAAAGAGCTGCCAAGGAGACTGTAGCTCCGGCGGCGGCTCGAGAAGGCCGTTCACGGCGTACTTACACCGGAAAACTGGTCCTGCCGACGGTCGCTCAGCCGTCGCAGGCCGCCCTTCTTCTGCCTTCACCGTGTGGATCACTGCCGACGACATTGTCTTGAAATTACGAGAATACCCTTGTGAGGAACAGGAATAGGAGTGTTTTCACTCTCTTCTCTCTCTCGTCTCCCTGTGTGTTTTTCTCTCTCTCTCTCGGTTGGCGAATCGATTTGTAGGTTAAAATCAAATAAAAAAAGTGTGTATATATATATATATACATGTGTGTGTGTATTTACGAGGAAGGCTGTGGTGTGGTTATAAGTTAGAAGAGGTGGTTGAGCAATAAATTCTTAGGAGGTGTGTATTATTGTGTTATTATTAGTGTCACAAAAGTTAGGAACTCTCTCTCTCTCCCCCCCTTCAAGCTACTACATCAATTACTTTGACTATGGAGCAATATATATATATATATAATGTATATATAATGTATGTATATATATATATACGGGGGGTAGGTTTAGCAGATTTGAATCTTGGGAATGCCGTAGGGAAATTAAGCCGAACTAGGGTTGTTTTCTGAGCTTTTACTTTACCTATTGTAACAAGTTATATATACATGGTTATGGTTTGAAACTTTGAATGGGGGTGTACAATTTGGGTTTATATATTGGGGGGTTTTCTGTATTTTTTTTTGGAAAAATGTATAATAATAATATAATATAATCCGAAAATAACAAAATCGGTTTTCGGGCTTTAGTAGAATCGGTAAAATTTTCTGTTAATAAAATTTTAATTGGATTGTTTTCGATTTTGATTTCAACTTTGAATCATATATGATTCATCCATTTTTCATTGTTTTTATTTATTTATTTCAATCGGTGCATGTTTATTGGATTTTGTAAAATGCTTAAAAGATTGAATTGAATTCCAGCTATACATTCAATTCCGTCTACAATTAGTTCTGAATTTTATTCTGATATGTGTAATTAAACTTCAAACAATATAATTCTGTAATTACGAATTAGCTAGAATTTGAAGTTATTAATACAAATGAACATTATATTCACTACAATAAAAAAAATTGTTGTCACTAGCACTGTTAAATTATTGACCGGTAATTCCAAGTGTATCGTCCATAAAACAATATAACCTAATCCGTGGTGGTAAATGGAAAATAAAACTTCCATGGACAAAAAAAATCATATATATTTGTAAAAAAAAAAATCATATATATGATTATGATTTATTTCCAGGTCATATATTACATCAATAATGAACATGATGAGAGATAGGAACTTTATTGCGGCATGCAAATGTTTGGTGGGGTCACGTTGGACCAATTTAATTTTATTGTTTGCGTTTTGACAAACCCGTCTAAATGCTCAAATTAGCCAATTCGTGAAAAATGTCACAATTCGATTTTTACATTATTATTATTATTATTTTTTATTAAATCCCTGTTATATCTTGATATTCGTAAAATTGTTAAAAAAAAATACAATATGATTATCCAAGGGAATGCCTTTTCACTATTCCCAATCCAATCATAAATATCTAAGGATATTTACTAAAATGCCACTCTGCATTGGGATGTCAAATGGGCCCACAACCCACGAGCCAATCTGAATCGAACCTGTTTTTATCGAGTTGGGTTAGAAAAATAGAGGCTGATATAAAAACGAATTTAATGGCTGAACCGTCACGAGCCAAGCGGTCCACGAGCCAATCCTGGTGGGCTTACGGGCCAACCCACAAGCTGTTATTTTATTTTATTTTTTTTAACTTAAGTGGCTCTTTTTTGCCAAACTTCTTTTTCCCACTCACCCACTCTCCATTCTCTAATCTCTTCTAGTCTTATTCTTTCTTCAATTTTTTTTTCTGTTTTTTTGTCAAACCTTAAATCGAAGAATCAACATCAATCACCACAGACCGTTCTATCTTGACCTCTTTTCGACTGTCGCTGCCTCCTTCGATCGGTAACCGTTTCTCTTTCGTCTTCGAATCATTCTCTTGTCTTTTCTCTATTTGTGTTTCGTCCTTGTTCGTATTTTCTATCGATATGTTTGGTTTTGTACTCGATTTAGCTATCTGATTCGTATTTGTTGGTTCGTTTGGTGTTTCTATATATGTTTCACAAGGAAAAGTCCAACATATGTTTTGGTCTCGTTGTCGGATTTGTGAAAGTCTCTGTCTTCACTTGTCTATGTGCTTAATGTTGGGTTAGCTATATGATTCCAGAGTTCAAGTTCTGTGGTAAAAACACCAATTGTTCTCGTGTTCAGGAGTATTATTTGAAGCTCAAAGCGAAAGTGAAATCTGATTTGGAGAGAATTCCTAGTAGGATATCATTGACTTCATATTGTTCGATGGGTATCACTGGTGAAAGGTATATTTGCTTGAGTTCAGCGTGGATATGCGTAACCCTTACCCTTTGCTTTCACGAAATTGCAATACTTCCATTACGCTTAAATAAAGAGAAGAATCACATATTCATCATCATCATCATCAACATCAACATCAATATCAATATCAATATTAACATCAACATCGTTAATTTCTAATTTTTTTTTGGGATGGATTGTGTATTCTTTCGTTTTACTTATCTTGATTTTGAGTTAAATCTTTCTAAGTAAATCTAGTTCTATTTCTATCTTATTGAAAAATAAAATGCGGAAATCAAATTAGAAAAAAAAGAACAAAAGATAAAAGAACGAAAACACTTTTATTGCTACATCTCTTCTTCTTGTTACATTAACATGAAAATAATTCAACATTTATAGGAAAAGTTATTGAAAGAAACAAGGAAATAAAGATACTAAAGAAACAAAAAAGATAAAATATAATTGACACGATGTATATTTTATTCTTAATTGATATTATGCATTTAATTATTATCAATCATATCAAATCTCCATATTTTGTTTCTATTTCAACATTCCCCCTCAAGATTGATTTTGAAAGAATTCAAAAATCAATGTTGAAGATAAAACAAAATGATGAAAAACTTCACTGTTATTAGAACAATCCATAGACACCAAATTTCATTCATTTAGAGAGTACTAACCTTTTTCAAATCATTTCGCTTGACTTTAAAGTTCTAGCTTTTAACTCTTTTTGTTATAGCATCTTGCCTGATCTTAGAGTTTTTAGCTTTAACTTCTTTTTGTCATAACACAATATTTGAATTTGGTTTTTTACTCCCCTTTGAATGAGTGGATATATGAATATCCAAAACGCAAAAGAAAGAAGAGATTAAAAAATTATTAAAAGAGAAAAATATAGTCCAGATCGCAACGCTGCTCTGATACCATATTGAAAAATAAAATTCAGAAATTAAATTAGAAAGAAAGAACAAAAAATAAAAGAACGGAAATACTTTTATTGATACATCTTTTCTTCTTGTTACATTACCATAAAAATAATTCATACATTGATAGAAAAATTATGGAAAAAAACAAGAAAATAAAGATACGAAAGAAACAAAAAAAGCAAAATATAATTGACACGATATATATTTTATTATTAATTGATATCATGCCTTTAATTATTATCAATTATATCGAATCTCTATATTTTATTTCTATTTCAACATATCTATCATCTCCACTTTCATTCTCACACTCTCTATTTTTACGATCGATACATCTATCGATTTATGTTTTGATACTTTCATACATGAACATGATAATTTTGATTTGTACGACGTTTGAATTGTTCTAAACTGTATAAAATTTTGTAACCTTTCTTCAAATATTATGAGATTTGATTTTCCAATAAATTAATTCTTTCGCACATCTATCGTGAAATAAAATATATTTTTGTATGAAATATAAAAAAAGTCGAATATTTTTTGATGATTTTTGCATTCTCACACATTTTCTTTACATAGACTGACGGTTGAAACACCCGGTGAAAGGGTGTATGTGAGAATAGACATAACCGTAAGATATAACCATTATACTGGATGTGTCTCTTGCATAAACACCACTTGAATCCTATAAAAGTATAGGTTCTATATGACAAAAAAAGATATGAAAAAAAACACCAGAAAAAAAAAACGTGAGTTATCAGTTTTGGTGAGTAGCATTTGGATTGTGAATCTGCGATTCCGACTCTAGTAGTCGGTTTTCGACCATCATCCAGAAAATCAGAAGACTGTGATTTCAACCAAGGAATATATCAACAGAATATGTACGCAACTACACTTCCGTAATCTTACATTGGTATCAGAGCATCAATGGTTGATTTCCTGTCTTCAATGGTTTTGTGTTTGTGCCTCTGTTCTCATCTTCCTGTCTTCGAGAAAATTGTGAATCTCGTCGGAATACGACGAGGATCCGACAGTCACGTCTCTCTTTCGCAATATTCATCGTGTTTTTTTTTTCCGGTGATTACTGTTGATTTGTAATGGCGACTGAGAGGTAGAGAGGCGGACATGAGAGACAAAAGAGAAAGAGGAAGGCACGTGTTTTTTTTAGAAACCCTAAATTTTTTTTTCAAGTTGGGCATACGCTAATGTTAATAAGATTAATTGTTCCATTTTTTAAAAAATAAACTATAATGGGCCGATATTTTTTTTAATGGGCCGCATGTTTCATTTTATAAAAAAAAGCATGTAAGTTCGCATTCATACGCATGCACTTACATTTAGAAGTAATATGTGCATAATATATGTATAAATATATAATAAATAGAGAAATTAAATAAAATAAAAGTATGCATGTTTGACTGACGCAAGTATGGCTAGCATGCAAATAACACTAACAGTACGCCTTTGAATAAATTTAGTACATGTGTTGTAATTATTTTTTTTGTTATGCGTACTTGGTTTATTGCATCAGTTTTGAGATTTTGAACATGTATGACATGCACGAGTTTGAATGAATCAATTAACATATATACAGTTTTTTAAAGAAAATAATACTGTAATATGATGTTTATTCGTATTGATAGTTATTTGATCAATACTTAGTCTCGATTATTCGCATCGTAAAAATTACCGAACCGTGGAAAAATTTAGGTTTGTAGATGTAGTTCTTGCCTAAATTAAAATTTCAGTCATTTTGAATTAATTGATGGTGATCAACTTTTAATAATGGTAGATGATTGAGTGTTTAATATTTTTTTTTCGATTCCATGTAGATGTTTGGTCATTATTAATTAGTTAAAGATTGATCCGAAATGAGTTTATACTAGTGGTTAATTTCTTGCATTTGTCTCTATGTAGTGTGTGATGGCT